TTATTTGATCAGACAAAAGAAGTTTAAAAGTAAGATGACAGTGGGTTCTGTTTAATAACTGCCTTCCTTCTAGTCTGTCAGATCAGTGTTTGGGACTTCAATGTACAGATATAACTGCCTTCCTTCTAGTCTGTCAGATCAGTGTTAGGGACTTCAATGTACAGATATAACTGCCTTCCTTCTAGTCTGTCAGATCAGTGTTGGGGACTTCAATGTACAGATATAACTGCCTTCCTTCTAGTCTGTCAGATCAGTGTTAGGGACTTCAATGTACAGATATAACTGCCTTCCTTCTAGTCTGTCAGATCAGTTTTAGGGACTTCAATGTACAGATATAACTGCCATCCTTCTAGTCTGTCAGATCAGTGTTAGGGACTTCAATGTACAGATATAACTGCCTTCCCTCTAGTCTGTCAGATCAGTGTTTGGGACTTCAATGTACAGATATAACTGCCTTCCTTCTAGTCTGTCAGATCAGTATTGGGGACTTCAATGTACAGATATAACTGCCATCCTTCTAGTCTGTCAGATCAGTGTTAGGGACTTCAATGTACAGATATAACTGCCTTCCTTCTAGTCTGTCAGATCAGTGTTTGGAACTTCAATGTACAGATATAACTGCCTTCCTTCTAGTCTGTCAGATCAGTGTTAGAGACTTCAATGTACAGGATACCGTTTGTGTATATTTGCACGAAAACTCTAAATAATCTGTGGCCACACTCTTACCCATTTTCTGCTTTCAAAGATAAAGAAAGATATCTAAGACCAATCGTTGGAAACTTCGTATGTACATATTTACTCAGGCGTCCCTGTTTATCTGTTCGTATAATGTAATGATATAGGACATCGTACCAGTCATAGAGATGACAACGGAAATCTACAATCTTCGCACGTATTGTCTAATTTAGGCGCGGCTATCGGAACGTCTCTATAAATAACATCAAAACAAAAAATACTGCGTTAAACAGATGTCAACTCGCTGAAGGATTTGTGTCACGCCTGATAACAGAAGGGATGTGAATTTGGACTTAGGAAATTTTGAGTTCGAGAACATGAGGTCCACCCATTATTTGATTCTATGTTTGTAGGGTAGTTTGTTTAGTAACTTGGTGGATAATCAGGGTATCCAACGACCTATGAGTGCTATAATCACGGTTATTATCTTGAAGTCCACCCATTATTTGATTCTATGTTTGTAGGGTAGTTTGTTTGGTAACTTGGTGGATAAATCAGGGTATCCAACGACCTATGAGTGCTATAATCACGGTTATTATCTTGAAGTCCACCCATTATTTGATTCTATGTTTGTAGGGTAGTTTGTTTGGTAACTTGGTGGATAAATCAGGGTATCCAACGACCTATGAGTGCTATAATCACTGTTATTATCTTGAAGTCCACCCATTATTTGATTCTATGTTTGTAGGGTAGTTTGTTTGGTAACTTGGTGGATAAATCAGGGTATCCAACGACCTATGATTGCTATAATCAGGGTATCCAACGACCTATGAGTGCTATAATCACGGTTATTATCTTCGAAGGTTTTGTATATTTTGTTTAAACATCTCATAAGAATTTTTACTTTCTTTATATAAAGTTGTAATTTTTTACATCATAAAAAATGGTGTAAAGGAGTAATGAGTTTTATGAAAATAGTTATTATGTTTCCGGCCCTTAAAGATCATGAATTTATCATAAGAGTAATGGTCATATCTTACAATTCGATTAGAATAACTTTAGATTTGGGGTCGGCGCTGTTGACTATTTACCTTCTCTCTGGTCTATCAGTTCAGATAACCCTTGTGTAGCTTTGTAAGAATATTCAAAAGAAAGAAACATACTTCTCAAAAGATTCAACTCAAAGAACATCACATTAAAAAAACCCTTGTCGACGTCCATAGCATCAAAAAAAAACAAGGCTTAACATATGTAGCATAGGTGCACTTCTAGAGCCTAAAACGTCTCTTTGGTGCATTGCCATGTGGATAAATTAAGACAATTTTTTGAAAATTGTTTCAAATACTTTAAATAAGAGTTGTACAAATAGTACTGATGCGAAAGTTCCTTAACATTATACAAACATTAAATTTATATCCTGAGATGTTATCCTTAGAAAAAAACAAATGTAATTTTGGGTGCAACAAACAGTAATTTACTCCTCGAGCTTCCAGTACATGTGGACGAACTATCTCCAAGGTCTGTAATTAGGCGTGTTGATAAGATATGTAATCTTGTACTAAAGTGTCTCTATTCTGTTTTAGTTATAGTTTTCTAGATTTAGTGTCGAGGTTGTTTAACGCAGACAGCAAAACAATTACAGTTTCTGCGTGATAGATACAATTGTTTGTTTGAGATTGTGGACTTTCTATTGTTAATGTGAAAGACACCTCTAGTTGGTGTATATTGTGTCACTAGAGTTTTACAAATAATCAGATATAAATAACACAATGGTTATTTACATACAATACAAGCTTTTATAAAATGCAAAACTAACTTCCCGATAGGAATGTTAGTTTTTTTGTTGTTTTTTTTCTCGTGTCATAAATTATAATCTCTTATTTCAGTAAAGTAGGCAACAGTTCAAAATCACAACTTAAGCACAAAGCTACACAATGAGCTATCTGTGCTCTGCCCACCACGGGTATCGAAACCCGGTTTATAGCGTCGTACGTCCTCAGACATACCGCTGTGCCACTGGGGGGGGGGGGGTCATACTAACAGCTCGGTGCTCTTGTAGATTTTTATAGCGTTACTGAAAAATTTAAAACACATATTCAAACCTGCTCCTTCTTTTATTTATTTCACACCCAGCATGAGGCCTAACCATCAAAGGCACGGAACTGGTCAGATATAGATAAACAAATTCTTACCTCGCCGAGAAATCGATAAGCAATTACAGAGTTCATTACAGACAGAATCTATGTAATATTACTGGTTTCAGAATCTATATAATATTACTGGTTTCGGAACCTATGTAATATTACTGGTTTCAGAACCTATATAATATTACTGGTTTCGGAACCTATATAATATTACTGGTTTCAGAACCTATGTAATATTACTGGTTTCGAAACCTATATAATATTACTGGTTTCAGAACCTATGTAATATTACTGGTTTCAGAACCTATGTAATATTACTGGTTTCGGAATCTATGTAATATTACTGGTTTCGGAATCTATGTAATATTACTGGTTTCAGAAAATATTATATAGATTCTGAAACCAGTAATATTACATAGGTTCTGAAACCAGTAATATTACATAGGACTGGTTTCAGAATCTATATAATATTACTGGTTTCAGAACCTATATAATATTACTGGTTTCAGAACCTATATAATATTACTGGTTTCAAACGAAAATTAAATTTGTTGTGGGAATGTGAAATGCATTAGGTATAATTCTTCATTCCATTAGTTTATTAGTATCATTAGGCTGATTGATACAATTTTGTCGATACAACACCTGCATTGAATGTTATTTAGTCTGTTGTTCAACCTTTATAAAATGTATATGATAATTGTAAACTCATAACCTCAGATTGCTTCTAAAGTTTTGTCAGATCGCGTTCTCTGTAGTTTTAAAGCTACTTTTACATCACAAGTTCACTGACTCCCTTTGTCAACGATTCAGTCACATCAACGTGCTCTACTTTCAGACTCGTTTTTATCAAGAATGTCTCCCACATTTTTAGAACTAGCAAGACCAGACTTGGCTTCTAATAACGCTGAAACTTAGGCCCGATTTCTCTCGATGGACAGAGCGCAGACAGCCCTTGAGGTGTTTTTCGTTGAAAATGAACAGTTCAGAAAGACCGAAATAGAAGAAAAAAGTTGCAGAACACTAAACAACAGCAGATGAAACACAAAATTCTCTAGAGACACATTCTATGTATTTGTAAATTTGTCCGCAAACTTCTCCTACAATTTCGGTGTGATGCGAGAGGTTTTCTTGTCTATATGACCCCTTAATAAGGGGTCTCAAATAAAGGTCTGGAAATATCCTTCGGGGTCGCTGAACCCGAATCTTGTATGTAAAGCTTATATTGATATGGATTGCTGTGTTTTGTTGGGAGGGAATGGTTCATATCCAATGTGGCGGCGAAGAATGAAAGAGGAAGATTTATGACATCATGTGCAAGCCTTCTATGTGTTAATCATCACAATGAAAATATGAAGGGCATGGTCCATTTGTTACAATAATTGGACTTTAAATACAAGAATTCGTGGTTTGTGTCCGTTTACCGCATAAAAGCACTCCATATTTTGGGGCCGTGGGTGGGATATAAGAGAGGTGGTCAAATCCCACTCTTTGATTAGAACAACCCAAGAGTAGGCGGTGGGTGCTGTTGACTATCTGGCTGCCTTCTCCCTGGTTTATCAGTAAAATCAGTGATGGCTATTCGCAGATAATCCTTATCTAGTTTTGTGGGATGTTCTGAAACAAATAAGTAAACACAGTTGAACTGAAAGAAAACAGCGATATTTTATTTGATATTTTTTGACAGAACGAGATTATCCGAAAAATATATCTCCTATATCATATGTCATTGAAAGAGCAGTAAGATATACAAATATACAATCAGCAGAAATATATTAACCCTACTTGTTTTTGTAATACAAAATTTTAGTTATGGTTTATCCAAGAGGACATCTACAAAACTTAACCCAAACGGAAAGATCGAACTGCAGATGATGAAATTATATGACATACTGCCAAGGTCAGAACATACAGAATTAATGTTGCCGATACATACATGACATACTGCCAAGGTCAGAACATACAGAATTAATGTTGCCGATACATACATGACATACTGCCAAGGTCAGAACATACAGAATTAATGTTGCCGATACATACATGACATACTGCCAAGGTCAGAACATACAGAATTAATGTTGCCGATACATACATGACATACTGCCAAGGTCAGAACATACAGAATTAATGTTGCCGATACATACATGACATACTGCCAAGGTCAGAACATACAGAATTATGTTGCCGATACATACATGACATACTGCCAAGGTCAGAACATACAGAATTAATGTTGCCGATACATACATGACCATACTGCCAAGGTCAGAACATACAGAATTAATGTTGCCGATACAGTTCGTAAATTACACTTTCATTTAGAAATTGGATAAAATTAATGAAGACTGGAAAACAATTGCTGTCAATTGAAATTTACTTAAACAAGAAATAAAAAATGATAGAAATATTCTGTTACTCATTGAAGGCCATAGGAATGGATTATAAATATATTTTGTTAGTTTGTTTTTCAAATTATAGTAACATAAGAGCAAAATGTCATAATTTAAAGAATCCCTTCCCACAGAGAAGGAATTTCTGTGCCATCCAGTTTCTCCTTCATCCGTTGTTCCAACCGTTCCTTTTGTTCTGGAGAGAAATGGTTTTTCCAGTCTCCGATGATTCCTTTCCTGAAAAAATCTACCTTGATTTGATTTGATGGATCAGCTTTGTCGGTAAAAACTTGACCTGGAGTTTTTTGGAACAAATACTTCTTGAGTTTTCTTCACGTTTGAGAAACTACTGTTCTTCAAAATCATCTCGAGTATTTCTTCATTTTCTTGGAGAGATTTCAGGTGCTCTTCACCAATAAACTTTGCAACCTTCAGTATATGACCTTTGGGGTCCTGCTTCATTCCTTCGTAGGTAACAAAAAGAATATTCGGGTCATTTCTGTGGTGATATCCTTCTTTCAAATGATCAAAATAATCGCCATATCCAACTTTGCCCAAAATAAAGTCTTCGAAGAAGTCTTCAAAAGATCCACTGACCCCACTAATATGCTTCATTCCCTTCATGTGATAATAAAAAGAAACACAACAATCAAAGGGATTTCTGGTGACATAGACGTATTTTGTAGAAGGGTTTTTTGGGACCAATCTGTAAGGTAGATGAGTGCGAAAAAGACGAGGTGATTCCATAGTTTCTGCTACCTCTGTACCACTTAAGTCCAGAAAAGGAGCAAGCTGAAACAACAAGGAATTAGCAGGGGGAAGTGGTGCTCCTTTATTAAGTATCTCCCAGATAATGTAAGTCATCCAGGTTGTTCCACACTTAGGGTAAGTAACCACGAAAATGTCGTCATCTCGAGGCTTCATGGATATGACATTTTCAATGTTTTCCTTTTTAAATATAGAGGGGAAGTAAATGCCGTGTATATAATTGTTTGATGATTTCTCTTTTTTCTCTCCTGAAGTCGCCATTTTTTGTTTGAAAAAGCTCTGCAATTCGAAATTTCTATAATTTCTGTAAATTAAAAACAAAATATCTCGGATTTAATTACCGTCATTACCGACTAGTAAATTTAAAGTTTTGTGCTATGAATACTTGTGTTTGCAAATATTGGTAGCTTATAATGATACATAAAGCCCTTACTCGTAAATTCTGATTTAAAATAGTCATGTATTGTCCCTCATATTTATTTGATTGACTAACGACGTAATATTTGCATTAAAGTGATTATCCAAAAACCCATCTGTTTGGAGATATACATATTTGTTTATCGACTCTTTGCGACCAGATCAGCAATACAAAAAATGTAAAAAAATGAATAGTTTTTAACCATCGAGCAACCATTTACGATTTTAATTTAGATCATATGTTACTATTGAATTTTTATGACAAAAATTGACAGTTTTTGACCAATTGAAACGAGACCTTATAGAATCACCATTCCATAATGTCCAAAACGTGCAATTAGTTGAACTGACATGTTGAAAAAAAAAAACAACGACGTATCCTACTTTTTTATTTTTATACCACAACGAAAACCGCCGTTATTATTTAACTATATACATCCAAGTGTGGCTTTTCAACTTATCAGGTCTGTCGTAACACATCTGGCCTGATGAGCCCTGGTAATGGACGAAAGGCCTCGCGGCACTGGATATGGAAGATGCAGTGTGATTGACATAACATATTCTCCTTTGCTTTCAGTCCTGAGGTTCTTAGAATTAATTTTTCTTGTTAGAGATAAGGTTATAAATGGATCCACCACGATATGAGTGCAAAAATGTGTGAAACAACATTCAAATTTAAGGACACGAAATAGATCAAGCATATTTCAAAACACCTTTAGTTGGATGTATGGTTACTCATTTAAGTTGTTTTAAAATTTTATCTCAGGTCAATGAGGTCAAGCTTCTCTATAACAGAGAACTTACTCGTTCAAAAGCAGAGGATGCAACTCAACCAACTAAGAAGAGGATGCAACTCAACCAACTAAGAAGAGGATGCAACTCAACCAACTAAGCAGAGGATGCAACTCAACCAACTAAGCAGAGGATGCAACTCAACCAACTAAGCAGAGGATGCAACTCAACCAACTAAGCAGAGGATGCAACTTAACCAACTAAGAAGAGGATGCAACTTAACCAACTAAGAAGAGGATGCAACTTAACCAACTAAGCAGAGGATGCAAATATATAACTGTTTCGATGAAATTAACAAATGTATATATATTTTTAAAGTATATGAGCCAAAAGCACACAATTGAAAGAGCAGTAAAAGCAATATCGAAGACCTCTTACCGCTGTTTAGCAGAAAATGTAAAACAAGTATATTATATTAATATTTTAGTTAATGAAAACTTTTGTTTGAAAAAATTGAGAAATAATCGTTTTTAAAGTGATGAAAAACTGTGAATGTTTATAATTGCATTCATATGTACAAAGGTTATAATTATTTTACATTTAAAACACTTACAATTTAATAAAAATATTTATAAAGTTTTCTTTAATTATATTTCTAACAGACGAAATTTAATCACAACTAAATAAGTTATCGTTTCTGTTATTTAGATCAAAATCATAAGATTTGTTTTAACTGTACTATCAGTTTTTAAAGACAGAATGAAATATGTAAAAGAAAGTCAGCGACTAATACTACTATCGTTCTCAGTGCTTTAACTCTGACATAATAAATACAGACATTTGTTATGTTTCTATTGTTAATTAAATATTTTGATGAACAATAAATAAATTCATGCGTTGATTATCTTTTAGAAATTAACGTAACTTCTATGTAGCCAAAAAGATATTCAGTTTAAAACTGTCATGTGCTATATAGAATGAAATTTGATCGTATGTTTACAAACTCATTGATAAACATTTAAATAATTACAACTTACCCACTGTTTTACAAATTTGGAGCCCTGCAGTTATCGAAGTCTTTTTTAGTTTGTGTAACAATGAAAGTTTTCACATAACGTCTTTGATTATATTTCTAACGAGCGGTCCGTCCCGAATCAGAACTGAATAGATTATTATCTCTGCTGTTTATCTCAATAACACATGATGAGCTTAACTGATTTTCAAGTACTTTCCGTGTCACGTGCTGATGGATAGTACATTCCGTTCCCCACTTAAAAATAAGGAAGCCTTGTGACGTCAATCAGTTCAAAGTGAGGCCCTCCCCTCTATCTAAAAACCACTGTGCGAAGTACACAAGATGTCCGAGAATGACCATGAAACTAAGGTCGTGTAAATACTACTTTTTTTGCATTCTACAAAATGTTTACGTACAAAATGATGAAAAATTAAGACAGAGAAGAAAACATTTATTCTTTTTTGTCTAGAATGTTTCAAGAAAAGCTGTCCACATTAGTAGCTTTATTGAAACCTAATATTACAAGTATAACAAAATATTAAAAATCTTATAAAGGCGAGTGAGGATCGATGTATGTGTAACCTAGCTAGCTATAATAATATAGAAAGCTTTAATGTTACAAAAAGCATTGAAACAAGAAAGTGAAAACTACAAAACTGAATTACTTAAAATGAAATATATATATATCTATACTTTGGCAAATCACTATAAGTAGATTGGTCGTAGCCAAAGTAGAGGTACAAAATTTGATTTTAAATAACTCGGTTTTTGTAGTTTGTAGTTTTGTAGTGGGATCTCGATGTACTTGTCGGCAATGCAGGCGTTCCACACTCTGGCCAGAGATGAATTCCCATATGATTTGACTATGCAGATGATATACAGCTGCATTCAAATACGCTAGATGAAACTACTTTCATCAACAATGTACAAAGTGCTTCTTATCACTGCAGGTTGAGCTCTGTTATGACCCAGTTGTTCTCACGATTTTTTACGTTAAACTGACCTTGAAATGTACTTGCTGTTCATAGAGTTCAAGTCTCGGCCGTTCGGTAACTTAATCTGCTCAGAGTGTCTAGTAAATAAGTGTCTGTTTCCGTTGAGCAATATAAAAAAATCCATTTGCGATTTAAGTTTGAACTATGCACCGATTTGATAACCACTCCAGTTATCTTGGAACTACAGAGCAGATGAACTCAAGGAAGGGTTATGTCTTGTATAACAACTAAAACCGGCAGTGGAGTTACAAGCAACAGTTTGTGGACCAGTATGGACACCTATCTGTTAGATATCGACATGAGAACCAAATCTTTTCTGATTAAATTGTTTTATCATAACACACTGGAAAATGTTTTGTAATAATATTTGTATTAAATTTATAAAAATAGACTCTATTTCCTGATCAATTTAATTTTACCACCTACAGCGTCGGTAAAACATGTTCTCCCCCCTGAAGCCCCCCCCTAATTGGTTCTTATGGCCGTGCTATGCTTGACAGCTATGTTCTGTAAAACATGTTCTCCCCCCCTGAAGCCCCCCTAATTGGTTCTTATGGCCGTGCTATGCTTGACAGCTATGTTCTGTAAAACATGTTCTGAAGCCCCCCCTAATTGGTTCTTATGGCCGTGCTATGCTTGACAGCTATGTTTGAAGCCCCCCCTAATTGGTTCTTATGGCCGTGCTATGCTTGACAGCTATGTTCTGTACACATTTCTTGCCGCCAATCTTGGTAAACAACAATATCTGTGATGCTAGCCTTACATTTAATAATAATGTTTTTAGTAGTACTGTAAACATAGTTTTTGTTATTAAAATTGTCTCCAATTTAACCTGTTGAGACGCTATGATACATCTCATTTTCTGTTTCTATGGTCGATCATTCATCAGCTACCTATATATATACGACGAATTTACACTTTTTACGACGTCTATCTTTCCTCATTACCTAAATTGTCACAAATATCATTATTTTAATTCAGATTTAATGTAATTCTCAATAATAAACTTAAAAAGTTATCTCTTTCCATCAGTTACAGAGCATGGGAACTAAAATTACTTGTTTGTGTTAATACATCATTAAAGTACTCTCGTTGTTATACAAATGACAAGTTTCTAGTTTTATAACAAACAGAACATTCATTGATTGAATTCTAATATCTGCTTCCTTTCAAGTACGGACGCGAGCTTATAGTGTTCAGTATCACGTGGGTACTCAATATTTTACGTCATGTTCTGCTTTGGAAAGCGATCAATAAATTCAAACAATTGTTGTTTGTTGTTTTGAAGTTAAGCACAAAGTTACACAATGGGCTATCTGTGCTCTGCCCACCACGGGTATCGAAACCCGGTTTCTAGCGTTGTAAGTCCACAGACATACCGCTGTGTCACTGGGGGGCAAATTCAAACAGTTGTTGTTTTGAAGTTAAGCACAAAGCTACACAATGGGCTATCTGTGCTCTGCTCACTACGGGTATCGAAACCCGGTTTCACAGACATACAGCTGTGTCACTGGAGGGGCAAATTCAAACAGACGAGACTAAATCGTTTCATACATAGAAACGTTGAGACGCACTTAATGCTCGTCAAATGAGTTTTTAAGATTACCCATTTAACAAAACTGGAAATATATTCTGTGGATGGCATTGTATAATATACAAATTATAGACGTGCACTTGCTGATATAAAAATAAAAAATGAAATTCCCGTGTTTCTTCTGGTCTCCTGAAGATGGTGGAACTTTTCAACCGAAATACGTAGAGTTTTTAATTTTACATTTAACTTAATAATTATTGTGTATTTTTAAACGTTGATTATTCTTACTTATTTTATGCAACCTAAGATTTTTGTGTTTATTACTGATAATCAATAACACATAGATTTATTCTATTTAACAAATAAAATAAATAGAAGAATCAGACATCGAATCTTGATAAGATACTTTAACATAACAGCTGACTTAAAAGAATATTTTTTCATCAAAGTTTACACTTGTTTCGTATCTCAGTTAAGCCTAAAATATGTCGAAGTTTACACTTGTTTCGTATCTCAGTTAAGCCTAAAATATGTTAGTTTTTTTAATTGCTAGTACAATAAACTTGGAGAAATAACGGTAACAGTTTTAATATTCTTAAGGAAAAGTTTATTTTGTTCTCTTACAAATCTAACAACATGCCTGGAAAGGAATATTACGTGTGATTAAGAATAAAATAAGAAAAGACTCGAGAAAATTAATTTTGTTCTGGAGAGAAATGGGTTTTCCAGTCTCCAACGATTCATTTCCTGAATAACTCTACTCCCTTCTGATTGGATGATTCTTTTTTTAATCTCTCGCCTCCTACAGTCACATTTTGTTCGGTTTCTTTGAAAACATAAAAATGTTTGTTTTGGTTTCACTTCTGAGAAACTGGTGTTCTTAAAAATTGTTTCATTTATGTTTTCATTAAACCTCTTCGCCAATAAACTTCACTATATGACCTTTAGGGTTCTGCTTCATTCCTTCATAGGTAACAAACAAAAGATAAAATCTTCAAAAAAAGTCTTCAAACGAACCAGTTACTTCACTTTGATTTCCCATTTTCCTTCATGTGACAATAAAAAGACACACAACAATCAAAGGGATTTCTGGTGACATAGACGTATTTTGTAGATGGTTTTTTTGGGACCAATCTGTAAGGTAGATGAGTGTGAAAAAGACGAGGTGATTCCATAGTTTCTGCTACCTCTGTACCACTTAAGTCCAGAAAAGGAGCAAGCTGAAACAACA